AGGGGTTCAAATGCTCGTGATACAGCCTCTGTGACAGACTTGGCATCGTCTCCTTCCACAGCGAGCATACGATGAAGTCCGCGGGACAGACATCTCTTGTATGAGGTTGTATCCTTTTCAAATGGGAAGGGTGTGTCCTTGGAAGGCATCAAGGACACATGCACTGTCCATGACCTTGGACGTTCGGTCGAGGCGGTAGGTTTTATCGGAAAGCTGTGTGTTGAGTTCAACGGCAGCTGGGAGGGGACAGTGGTTGTGGGCGAGAGATGAAAGGTGTTGACGGTGGCGTTGCTTAGATTTGGGTCTTGGGGAGGAGACAATATCGGCTCGGCACTCTCCAACTTTTCGATCCTTTCTTCCAAGCATTCGTCACTATCAAGAAGCTCAAGTTGACGATTGCGCAAATCGTCCACTTCGCTCCCTGTCCTTGCCAGCTGTTCGCCTTGAGATCGAAGGGTTTGTTCCAAGCCTTTAATCTGTTGTTGCAATTGTGTAACAAGCGCCCACGCAGCAGATGCGTTGCGGTATGAGCCTTTGAGTTCAGTATCGGTTTCGTCCTTGTTCTTCTCGACTGTCTCCTCCAGCTCGCTGATGCGACGAACAACATGGGAAAGTCGATCACGGTCTTGTGGGTTCGCGAGTTCTTCCAAGGTTCGTACTCGCTGTTGAATCGCATCGATCTCGGACTTGTTAGTGCTTGGTGTTGGGGTATCGGCATTGGCGACGTGAAAGCAGGATAGATGCCCACAGTTGCAAGTGGCGCCAGGTAAAGATTTGTTGTGGTCGAACCCCATGCAGCCGCACCGCTGGCCCTTGAGCTCAGGTATCATGAGGATATAGCGACATTGACCCTTGGGTAACTGAGACTCGTCGGGCTGCGGCGTCGAGGCCGGTGGGGGAGATCGAGAGGGTGAGGGTGACATTAAGTTGCGTCAAACAAAGGGATCGAAGAGAGGAATCGAGGTTGGGATAGGTCGTCCATGGAAATGTCGGTGGCAGTAGGAGCCTGATATGGACAGAATGGGTACGGATGGGTATGAAAGGGTACGGGGTAGTCTTTTAGATATGAGAGATGGAGCACGGAAGAAGAAGAAAACAACAGCAACCCGTACTGCAGGCGCGGCAGGGCAGGGCAGGGCAAGGCAAAGGCAGGGCAAGGTAGGCGGGCGGCTCTAATCATAAAGCAGGGCGATGTCGAGATTTGAACCCCCAGGGATGGGATGTTGGGGTTGTGTGATTCCGTCTGGCCGCGTTAGGACGGTACCTAAGTCCAGGCGGGTGTACCTGAGGACAGTGGCATAATACACGTGAGAGGCTGTAGACTGTTAACGGTTTCTAGGTATATCCAGCGTCCGCTTTTGAGACGTTATCATCCGCTCTCGTCTCGCCATCAAGACAACCCACGAATCTTAGACCAGCTGCGCCCGCAGGCCGGCTGATGGCATCACAAACTCCCACGTTGAAGACCCGCAGGTGGTCATGGCACCACAAGCCGACGATTATAGACAGTGGGGGTTAGCCGTGTCTAACAGTGACTGCTTGAGGTACATGCCCAGTAACACCGAGAGGATAAAAGCAGAGATTGCCCATGCCCATGCCCACGATCAAGAATCTCCTCCATGTGTTGTACATAGGTAAGTAGAGCCACGGAACGCGGTGAGAACAATCACAACTCCAGTCCAGTGCCAGAAGAAATCTAGGTCCACGCTAGACTACGGGGAGCTCAGGGGATGCAGTAGAGTCCCAGCTAAGAGAAGATAGCGCCGTTATCTTTGTTGGTCTGTTGTCAAGTTGCAATTCTTCGCAGTGTCGTACTGTATGTACGTAGACGCAGGACCCTCAAACCAAATCTTGGTTACCTGGCGCAAGGCGCGCTGTTTTCTTGTCTTGTCTTGGGGGACCCCTGGCCCGGAAACTATGAGAAGATATGTACATATCCCACATCAGAGTCCGATTGATAAACAAAATGTCTCAACTCTGACACGAAAAGCTTGGCTGATCGTGCCGCACCCTTTTCCCAGTTCCCATTGGCCCTTGAGACTTGGTCCCTGAAGCCGTCGACTTGATCAAGGTCGAGACGGAGACTATCAAGAGGCAGAAAGTCAAGTCGAGTCAGGTTGGAGGGCGGCCACGCGATCTGTGACGGGCGGGCGTAAGAAGTCAAAGACTCAAGAGTTGATACATACTGCATGTATGTATCGACCAGGGCCCTTGCGCAATGATTGTGATCGTGGCCGGAATCGCAATGGTGATTGATGGAAGCATCTGCATGGGGTCTCACAGATTAGCAGACCTCCTCTGGCTGGTCCACCCCCACACCCTCTTTGTTGCCAAGCCTGCCACTTTCTTTGGACGGGAGTGACAAAATTTGACTCTTGGGGGGTAGTTCCCGCACCCGTACCCGTCCATTAACTAGTAGGTAGTACCTATGAATGTGAATGGCCCTTATCCGTCCCTCCCTACCTCCTCGCCTACTCGCTACTCAGTCACCTCTCCGGTCTGGCGGGCCCCCGGTCCGTAGCTAACTAAATAATAGCGGGAGGGACCCGATGGCAATGGGCGGGAGGGCAAACCCGTCATCGGATTTGGATAACGTTGTTGGTGTAGGTACATACTCATACTTTAGAAGAGGGAGCCCCCAAAATGCGGCCGAGAAAAGTGATGTGCTCTTGACTCGTTGCATGAGATCGCCTCTTCCTCCATGCCCCCTGGGTCCCAGGTGTTCCAGATAGTTATCGGATGCATGTAACTTAGAGGTCGTGCGTGGTACGGTCGGCATGTAGGCCTTATCGGCGCCCTACTGTTGATGCAAGGTTATCGACAAAGTTGCCCGCACGCATGTGATCCCTCCCCAGGTTCTGATCAGAGGTTGGTTCCTTGCAAATCATACATAGCAATTCGCGTTGTCCTGCTCAGTAGGGGCATGGACCTCCAAATTGAACATCAAGGCCGGTTGGAACCGGTGGACTAAATAAGTGAGATTGTCCAAGGCCCCGTCTTTGCTATGGGCCATGCCAAATTCAAATTCATCTCCATCATCAACCCTGAAACGTACATAGCAATTGAGAACAGCCTGAACTGTACAGAGAGGTAGGTACATAGGTACATACATACATATCATGTACGAAACGGCCATCAGGGTGGGTTATGTGCTGCAGCACAAGCACGGCAGAAGTAAGAAGCCTTGACCCCTGGCAGCCCTGGCTCTACTGTAACTTAGCTCAAGGTGGTTAGCAGTGGGCTCTGGAGGATTTCTTTGCCCACGTGCAGTCTCTTCTCTTGGGACAGGCAACTCCTTGCCACCTGCGAACTACCAATGCACACGGTAACTACTGATGGAGTGATCTCGGGCCTGTATGTTGCAAGCCGTGACTTTGACCAGCGACGTGACGCACCTCGAGTTGCCACTCGTAACCAACTATGGGTAATTTCGGAACTGCTGTCAACTCCCTGTTAGGTACTTACACCAAGTGCCTGTCTCTTCTCAAAGGCTTCCCTAAGGATGAGGATTCGGCGACATTGAGTGAGACTCGCTCAACACTGAGCATCTCACTTCGGTCTGACAGAGCTCGAGTGCGTCGAGAATATGCTTCGCGACTTTCACAAGATGGTTCTCGGTTTGAAAAAGGTGATGGTAAGTCACTTCTATCTGCATTAGTTTCGTATTAAAATGCATGAGTTGTTATTCTGAAGCCTGTCCCAGCTCCTGCACGATCGGCTCTTAGACGCATTGTGAGGAAACTCACAAACACCCTGGCCGACGTAGTCCGCTCATTTCATGATCCTAAAGGACAGCCGATCAATTGCGAGTCTCTTCTAGCTCTATCCACAGGCTCAAGTCTAGACGCCGTTCGCGCGATGAATGACTTGTCAACCAGAGTAGGATCAACTTCAAGTTCCAGTTCACGGGGTAGCATCGTGAGCAGAGGACGACAGAGATCCCGCCGTCATAGCCAGAAAACCGGAGCCAAGTCTAAGAGACGGTCAACAGAAGAGCGGTCTAATAAGCGTGACAAGACCAGAGGCAAGAAGTCAACGACCCATAGCCATACCCATAGCCGGAGACGGACGTCCTCCGATCGGCGTCATTATCAACATGGTTCGACAAGCCGGCACTCGCTGGAAATAAAAGGGCCTCATAACCGAGTCTCCATAGTGACCATTGCTTCGGATTCCACCAAGCTGGGAGAGATCAGGCGGCGCTTTTCGAAGCAGATGCCTTTGGAGGAATATGAGAATATGGCCGCTTATCCATTGTATGCCTACCATGCCCAAGAGGCACCAGTGCGTAAGAAATGGTGGAATCCTTTCAGGCGCTGATGACTGGCGAAAGCTACTTTTGACTTGGATTTCATGTATATGATACCCGATGATGTATATGGATATTGTTGTTTCTTGATTGTCTACTCTTACAATATTGAAGCTGTTACTCCGTCGGCTTGAGATCTTGTTCACATTACGCACACCAATGAAATACACACTAGACTGAGCCACTCTCGAGGGGACTGAAAAGCCCTCCTAGATGAGGTAAGGAACTGAAGAATATGAATTCAGAAATAAAATAATTGCATGATGTTTTCTCATTTTCCTTCCCATATAAAAAACCTACTTACCTAAGGTAGGTAGGTACCTTACTGGCAGTACATAGGTATACGGAGTACCTTAGGTATAAAGGTCCTTAGGTGAGTACGAGTATACTTTCTGCACTGTGCAGGACACTGTCGAGGCTGCAAAGCCACAGAAAGAGCTTAGAATTATTCTACTGTGCCCCGCTGTCCAAAACTGCCCCACCAGCATCAAGACTGGACTGGACGAACACACGACAGACAGGTCATCGCATTCAGCTCGACCACGACCACGACCACGAGCGAAGAGCATCGAAAACGCACAAGATACAACCGATTCGCTCTCTGGGCTCGCCCCATTCCCTCTCCATCTAACCGTGTTGCTATCAACGTGACCCCTCACGGATATGCCTTCGTCTTGATAGCATCGCCATCATGCCTCAAGACCCTGCTGCCGCCCTCAGCGCCTTGTTGCGCCAATCCTCCGTCGAAGATCACGACGAGGCCCTCAAGATTGCCAACGCTGCACTCAAAGCTAACAAGAACGATGTCGACAGCCAACACACCCGTATCATCGCCTTGCTGAAGCTCGATCGATTCGACGATGCTTTGCGCGCCATTGCTGATGGCTCCCCCGCCCTCCACGCACGAATTGCCCTCGAACATGCCTATGCTCTCTACAAGACGGGGAAGCTTCACGAGGCTACTTCTGTCCTCCAGGCTTTCGGTCTTGGGAAGAAGAGGAGTCTACAGCATGTTGCCGCACAAGTTGCTTACCGTGCTGAGCGCTTCGATGAGGCTTGCAACATCTACAGCCGTCTACTCGACACCCATCCCGCAGATGAGGAGAACGATATCAGCATCAACCTTCGGGCCGCTTTTGCCCAGTCTAGTTGGTTGGGATACTCGGTCACTGACAAGATTTCCGTCCAAGACTCTGATGGATTTGAGCTGTGTTATAACGCTGCATGTGCACATATTGCCAACGGCTCTCTTGAGACTGCAGCCGATCTATTGCAGCGTGCAAGTCGACTGTGTGATGCCTCCGATGATTTGACAGATGAGGACAAACAGGCGGAAATGCGGCCGATTCTTGCACAGCAGGCCTACGTCTTTGCCAAGTTGGGCAAACTCAAGGAGGCTCTCGATCTCTATAACTCCCTATCAAGCGCAAAGTAGGTTTTACTGCAATTATGCTCAGGGCTGAACTGACTATCATGGGCAGAGAAGAAGATCCCGATCTGGCACTAATAATTGGCAACAACCTCGTCACTTTGGAGCCAAAAGACGAGAACCCCTATCTTCTCGAGCGAAGATTCTCGACCCTGACGGCCGAGGCAAGAAATGCCAAGCTCTTCCAGCATCAGTCTGATATCCTGCGACGCAACCGACTAACCGTCGACTTGCAAATCCTCAAGGGTGCCGGAGTCAAGCGTCGCACCGATGCCCTTCTCGCCGAAGCAAAACATCCCTCGACAGCTGCTGAAACTAGCATCCTCTCTGTTCTTAACGCTGCCGCCAGCGCACAAGGAACATCCGGGAAGCAACTTCTGAACAATTTACAACGACTGACCCAGAAAAGACCACATGATGTCGGCCTAGTGTTAACTATTGTGCAAATACAACTCAATGAAGGAAAAGTAGGCTCTGCTCTGTCTATTCTTGAGTCTTTCCTTCAGCGTCTCGAAAAGAACGAGACTGATGATTCTCAAAATGCTCGATTCAGCTCTGGTCTTGTTGCCCTTACTGTGACCCTTTTGAGGACACAGGGGCGCGAATCTTCGGCAAAGGCTGAACTTGTCAAGGCCGCTACATACTGGCAGTCACGTCCGGCTAGCTCAGCTGTCTCACTCCTCGAAGAGGCTGGCATCGAACTAATGAAGTCATCCAACGCCCAGGATTTGCAACTCGCGGGCACTTCATTCCAGAAACTAATCGATGAGCGGAAGGGCTCGGACATTGCTGCGGCTGGCCTTGTCGCATCCTTGGCTCCCTCAAACCCCTCTCGTGTGGAAAAGCACCTCCAGAACCTCCCTCCCGTGGATTCGCTTATCGAGGGCATCGATGTAACAGCTCTCCTCGCCGCTGGTGTTGCCACCGCAGCCAGGAAGGCAGGTTTCTCAACTTTGAAGCGCTCCGCTCCTTCAGGACCATCCGAAAAGACAAGCAAGCGACGCAGAAAGATCCGCCTTCCCAAGAACTACGTCGAGGGTACCAAGCCCGACCCTGAGCGCTGGCTGCCTTTGCGTGACAGAAGCTCGTACCGTCCCAAGGGCAAGAAGGGTAAGAAGAAGGCTGTTGATTCAACACAGGGAGGAATCGTGAAGGAAGAGGAGACTCTGGAGCTTGTAGGCGGAGGAGGTGTCAAGGTTGAGAAGGCGCCTCCGCCCTCCAAGAAGAAGAAGAAGGGTAAGAAATAGTACAGCAGTTTACGGATACTGCATATGCATTTATTACTCTGTTTCAGTATGATATTCTTGACCACTGATATGGGGTTTCCATCCGTGTATTCGCCCTGGCTCTATCGGTGCAATTCCTCCTGGCTGTCATCAAGGTCAAAAGAATGGATGATGTTATGTATGCACATTCACTCAATTTCGATTCGACTGAAAAATCAAAAATTGATTTCTAACGCTGACTTTTAATGCTCTGCCCAAGCCCTGGTGCAAGCGAGTACAAATGAACAAAAGGCCTCGGCCACTATAGAATATCTAGAAACATATGTCCACGTCATCACCCCCTTGACATGAGTCCACCACACTCGGCATCTCACGTCTGCTTCTTCTGTGGCCACTCAATAACACAAGTATAACGGAGGTATTCACAACGCCCGTCCCAGCAAGCCCCAATTCTATATAAATAAACGTTATGCGCGCGGACTATACTCCACACGAGAGCCCTCCATATCTACCCAGTATCAGGCGTTAACGGGCTGCACGGGCCGGCTCGGAAGCTGCTCTATATCCTGAAGTGACTCAGAATCCGAGTCTCGACTTTCAAGATCGTCCTTCTTGATGCTTCGGCCTCTTCTTACACCGGTACCGTCTGACTCCTCGTCCGTCTCTGTCTCCATAGGAGGCAGGGGACTGCGGCGTCCATCTGAGAAGCTGACTGCAACCTCACTCTCCGTATCCGACGGTATTGTTAATCTACCGCCAGCTGATGTGCTTCTAGCTGCTTGGGCGGTCGAATACTTCCTATGCAGTTCGCGGAAGCTTCGTGCGGTTGCAGTGCTTGCGCTTGCAATGGATTCCCTACGCTCGCTCGACTCCACCGGCACACCAACGGCAGAGTAGAAGTCTTCATCCTCTGGCCCACTAGGCATTGGCGACAGCGGAGGATCTTGCTGCTGTGAGGACTTTCGAGCACGGATTTTCTCATCATGTGTCATATTCTGCAGGCCATCACCGAAGTTAATGACTGATGCTTTCTTGCCATGCACCACGAAGCTCCCCGTGCCTCTGGAAAGTTGATGCTCTTGGGTCGATTCTTCCCCTGACCCAGCGACCTCCTTGCCCTTGCGGCTGCCACGGTGGTGCGAGAGATGCCCAGTGCCCTCTCGAAGAGTGCGTTGGAGACTGCGGCGAATTTTGCTCCTGTCACCCTTGTCTGTGGGTGTCCCAGACTCCCCAGGTACATCAGCACCTGTTGAAACAGTTGCTTTGTCTGTAGGGTCACGGCTGGGCCGTTGCTCAAGTAGGCCGGCTTGCTCCAGAAAGTCTTGTTCATCGGCGTCAGGATCATGGTTTCCGTCGTCCTCCTTGCGCAATGGTGGCTTGTTACTTTCATCTTGGGCCGAAGGGAGTTTTGCTAGCGGTGTGGAAGGGAGGGATGCTATGGGAGACTGGGCGATACTAGATATTGACCCATGCCTGGTGCTAGCAGCTTCTGGTCGAACAAAGGAGAGATCGCGTGAGCTATGCCGGCGTTTAGTGGCACTCTGAGGAGGTGTTGTGAAGACCTGGTCCAGAGGTGAATCGACAGCCTCCGTGACTTCGGCTGTGTTAGGGACTTGGACGACCTGAGGCTCGGTGGGTGTTCTTGGGCCGGCCTCGGTTCCAGAATGATGCGTTGACCGCGATCCTCTACGTCCCACGTTGCCCCGTGGCGTAGGTGACCCTGTTCTCTGTGAAAGTCGGTTTGACTGTTGCTTGGTAGGAGTAAAGGTCGAGGATGGGTGTTCTTCTTCGAGATCCTGTATCAAGATATCACGGTGGCATTTGTGTTTCCACATATCTTGGCGCGTCCACTTGAGCTGAGCAGATATCCGTGCAGCAGCAGATAAAAGCTGTTCCCTCGTTCTTGGCTGGATGGGCGCGAGGATTAGCAGGTGGCGTGCGTTCCTGAGCTGGTGCTCCAGCTGTTTCTGAATCTCCTGCACATGTTCATCTGCTTCAGCAATCTTCTGTTTCATCACGTCTCTTCGAGCAGCTGAGATATCTTCGGCCATTTTATGGTCTATTCGACTCCTCGCAATAGACACTGGCCCGGTTGGTGTCTGGATGAGGGTGGCAGCATCAGCGCTATCCAGTCGACGTAAACCTCGGCGACTCTGTCCGTCATAGTTGCCGCCAATGACACCACGCATCTTAACACCCGTAGTCCGGAAGGCGGCAGCATAATTGAGTTTCGCGAGCCAGTCGTTCATTTCTTCTTCATTATCTGCCAATAGCACTTCTTCTAGACCACCCTGCCGCACGTAGACGAAAGCGTTCTTGTGCTTCTTATAGGCCGTATCATGGAGGGCCACGGCAGCATAAGTTGACATGAGACCGTCTGGTTTGAACTCTTGAAGCGGAGGTGTGAAGATCAACGGTGTTCCATCATGTCCCGCCTTGATGTGGTTCTCATACTGATGCATTAGAGACTTCACCCAGCCTGTGTTGCGGAAGAAGTAGAGCTGCGCCCCAGTAAGAATGGCGCCCCATTCCTGCCACGGAGACCTTGCCTTGCGTTTCTTCGCATCTTTCCGCCAAAGTAATCCAACCTTGGTGACCTTGATGTCGACGATACCGGGATGTGCCTCGGCCGGGTTGCTAGCTGTCTGTTCCGTCATGAAAGCGTCGGGTCGAGACCGGGCCGACACGATCTGCAGTACACCTGTTCTAAAAAACGTTTTCTGCAAGTCCTTCAAGTTCAGGCTAGTCGCAGAGCCTAGGTAATTGTAGTGATCCTCCAGCTCCATGACATCTTTCAAGTTTGGTCTCAGGGCATCAAGGCTTCCGTCCAAGATCAGGGTATAGGGATCGATGGGTTCCTTGACAGCTCGTTTTGCGGGGTCGTTTACTGTAGAGGAGATCAGAGGTTTTCGTCGAGATTTATGTGATGCATAGCGGTCGCTTGTAGGGTCTAAATCATCCTCAACGTGAATAAAAGGGGTATAAGTTATGTTGTCATAAAAACATTCCAGAATGTCGTCAAATATGCCTTCTCCGTTTGTGTTCTTCAGGTAATCAGCTTTTTGCATTTTGTGCTTGTTATTCTTGTTGAAAACATCGGTATGTAGAATGAGTAGGGAGAATGCAATGAAGTACGCCTGATCAGGCGATGAGTAAATGCCTGGGTTACACTCATGATAGCGGTTAGCAAACGCTTGTAAGCAGCGGTCGATCTGCTGTGTTTCCTTAGGTAGCTCAGCTTCCATGAGCAGTTTCCGAATAGCCATATCCATAGGATCACCAAAGAAGCTAAAACTGCGCATGTAGCTCCGAAGGACTGAAGTCATGAATGGATCAGCGCTTTTTGAAAGAGTCGCAGCAATGATGCCTCGGCTGGCAACTTCTTCGACCCGCGCAAGGTATTTGGCGGGTGATTCATCTTCATTGCGTTCTGGAAGAACAAAGGAGTCCCTGGCAAGCTGGAGTGAGTTGTTTTTAGATCCAATGGAACCGGGGGTCGTAGGAGTCATCGTGCCCTGGCGACTAAGTTCTGAGTTCTGCCGCAAACGACTGAGGCCAAACAAATCACCGAAGCTTTTACGGCCAGTAGAGGACGACGTTCGTGTCGTCGGCGGTAGAAGGTGATCGTCATTAGAGTCACGGCCCATCGAACTCATAGTAGAGGACCTTCCTCTCAACAAATCGCCCCTAGTGGGTGAAGAATGCCCCGACTGAATCCCCCCAGGTGCCACCAGAGTAGTCGCAGGTGATTGGCCTGACCTTAAATCGGAATCTCCTTTGGTAGTGTTTCCGCCAGCTGTTTGGCCGCTCTGGGCGGAAGCTGGTCGTGGGGTCGTGGAAATTCCAAGGGATGAAGCCGAGGAAATGCCTGGGGGTGCTTTTCCTTGCTGTTGAAGATGCGCAAATGGAAAGAGAGGCTCTGGTGCTTTCTTATGCCGTCGCAATCGAAAGAAAGGGCCTGATTTCTTGGGTGTCGTCTCCGGGCTCTGATAGGACGAACTCTGGTGAGACAAACGATCGTTGGAGCTAGCATCAGACCTGGATGACTCGGAAGGGCGGTTTGGAGGTGTTAAGATTGTACCATTAGGACTACTCGTTGTAGCTGTTGTCGATGGTCGCGGGGATTCAGGTTCCTCCAGTGTAGCGAGCGTGGGGCGCCGTCTGTCATCAGTAAAGGATTTCCGAAGTGTCTTCTGGCGTCCAGTTCCATTGTTGGTGTTGACGTCCTCACGGGGTAAATCCGTCGAGCGACGGAACCTGGCAGTCAGGCCTATCCGTGACGATTTCTTTTTCGGCCCATTGAAGTCGTTTGTTGGAGCGGTGGTAATGATTTCGGGTGCTAAGTCGAACACAGGTTAGCTAAGCATGTCCCAGCTGCGAAGTACGGTAGATAGGGGTGTGTTACGTCGCGGAACGGGCGGCAGCTTCTCGGATTGTTGCTTGGCTCGTAGAGACAGTTGAGAATCACTCGCGTTTCGGAAACGCAGGACGGAGAAGCGATGATGTTTGCTGTTTTCTTCTTGTATAGGAGGGGTGTCTGGGCGACTTCCAGGGCGACTCTCGGTTTGACTCTCGGGGAGGCCTTCAGGACGGCTAGTTGTTGATTCGCGAGCTAGCTCACGAGGTTGCTGCGGGTGGGAAGACTCTCCAGGTCCTTGTCCGTCGTCATCGCTGTGGTCGGGCTGAGAAGGAACTGGAGGAGGAAGATCGCCGGATGCGCTGGGTTCGAAGAGTGTATGTCGGCGTTTTTCAGTGTCATCAGACAAGTTGCCTCGGCGGCGACGAAAAGCCATAACGGCGACTGATCATGATACGCAGCCAGCCCAGGCGTTGTCAAGACCAGGCGACGTCGGTGAGAGAGCGTGCCAGTTGAGGGCGGCAGGCGTCTCACGACCTACCAAGCGAAAGGCTGGTACCCAGTCGCGATGATGTTCATTGAGACAACTCGAGGTGCCTAAATCGATGATAAGAATTCAGCAAGAGTGAATGTCGCGTGGAAGGTCCGGATTGTGAGCGCTGTCGATGCAGCGTAGTAGTTAGTACTTAGGTTAGTAGTTAGGTAGGTAGTTGGAGGTTGATCCGTTTTCGATCACTTCCATTGAGCATTCACTTTCCGCGGGAGCTTTCCCACCAAAGCCAGGGGCTGCTGGTCGTGGCAGCCTCAATTAACCCAGCCCAGCCCATATCATCCCAGCGCATGTCAGACTACCGATGCACAGTGTCCGGACCCACTACTACAGTAGGTAAGGCATGCGGCTGGGAGTAGGGGGTTCCTGAAAGACCCGCTGTAAAAGGCCCTTCAGGTGCAAAGAAGCTAGCCCGCTGGATTATTAGTGTGGCTGGTGTAAGGAGGTGATGATCGAGAAACATTGTCCTAAGAATGGGCTGAAATTACAGCTTAGGCATCACTACCATTTCTTTTTTGATATCTTTTGATCCCATCTCTGGTGACTATTGTAGACAATATGTCTGTGACGTGGCGATACGCGCAACGTAAGCCTAAGTACTTACGTACCTAGGTAGGCAGTAATATACAGTATAATCAGCACTGGTGGTCACTTAGATGTATCCTCTGGCATCATTAGGTCGACGAGAGAGTATGGATACAAATGTTGATTCTATTTCTCGTAAAAATAAAATAAATAAAAAATCTGAAACTGGGATCGAGAATCCGAACTTGCTCTGACAGCCTCAGAGTAAGTAAGCCCGCAAATAGATTCGACAGATTTTGAGAAATGAACGATAACTTCATATTGCTTATTCATATGCACTAGCGAGTCCTAAGAACAAGTGTTCCATGTTTCAATATCTCCCTGCCCGTGATATACCCAAGGCCACGCCACATGGAGAAGGTGTCAATATGGGTGGCTTGGTCTTTGTATAATGGTTATAAGGTAATTTTGCTATATTACTCAAGCGACATATTCTTGGTCCTTGTTCAGATCGCCCTTGAATCCCGGTGTATGGAGTATATAAATGTGTGCAACTAGGTACCAGTTAAAAGCTGTATAGGTAGGATTCGTGATAAATGAGGTCCCAATGTCCATTTCTGTGTCACTTCGTATTAAACTAAGCATTTATGAATTCTTTTACATGTTCGCATAAACACCTTGTTGTATCCGACTACCTTCTTAAAATCTAGTATTGTTTTATTTGCTTCAATTCCGATGCTTCCAACGCTTTGTGAAAAACTACCTACCTACATACTTGTCTGAATGATGGACCAATAATGACTCCCACGTCAGCCCCACATAAACCAGCAACAAGCGGCTGCGTGCGTTATCATCCAGGCTAACTAGAGGCAGTGTAATCTTCAAACATCGTCACTCATAAATTGATAATTGTCGCTATATCCGTCATACACAATCGTCAAATATTCAGCTGAGGGCTGATAAGCCTCCAATCCAATCCCGGCCACTTCAGGCAATCAGTGTCAATTGATCGAGTCGGCTGCGCGTTCTCTTATAAGACGCAAGATGAGGTTACCTTTACTGGCAGCGAGTATGCTGCTTCTGCAGGCCTCCAGCGCCCACGCCGCTGGTATCGATACACATCGTGCCATCCCAGATTTACAAAATAACGAGAATAATAATAATGACGCGAACAAACGACTATTCCCTTTCCTTTCTAAACTTCGCGACAAGGCTATCGAGACCGTCTTCGGACGTCATCCGAGTAAAAACACCCCGCCGCCCGTCATCAATCAACTACGCGCACAATACCTCAATCAGTTGGTCCTCCGCTTCAACGTCACTACTTCGCACGAAGAGGGAGCCCTTGCCGATGCCGCTGCTCGACTGTTTCTCGATGTCTGGGCCTTTACCGATGACTATGTCGACATCCGCCTACACGCTGACGAGGTTCGACCTCTGCTGAGCTTGCTTCCCAAGACACTACATGCATCGCACTCGATTCTGATCCCGGATTTGGCCGCCGCCGTCTATAAATCACTGCCTATCGGAGGAAACCCAACTTATTACGATCCTAAACCCGCCCCTCCGGTCCTGAAAGTCGCTTCTTCGCCTGGAGACAACCTCTTTTTCCAGGATTACCAGTCTCTGCCAGTCGTGATGAGATGGATGCGTCTCCTTGAGGCTATGTTCCCATCCTACGTCAAGTACATTAACATCGGCAAGTCATACGAAGGCCGCGATATTCCTGCCCTGCGAGTGGGGATTCCGAACACAGCACCGGATGCGCCTCGGCGCAAAACAATCATGATCATGGGCGGCTCTCATGCCCGCGAATGGATCTCAACGAGTACTGTCAACTATCTGGCGTGGTCTTTCATCACTAGCTATGGTAAAGAACGGATGATCACAAAGCTGTTGGATGAGTTCGACTTGGTCTTCCTCCCAATTGCGAACCCTGATGGTTTCGAGTATACCTGGCATATCGATCGGCTCTGGCGCAAAACACGACAACAGACTAACCTTCAGTTTTGCCGTGGACTGGACCTGGACCGAGCTTACGGGTACGAGTGGGATGGCTCACAGGTTCAACGGGACCCATGCTCTGAGAGTTACGGAGGAGAGAAGCCTTTTCAGGCCGTTGAAGCGGTGCACATTGCCGATTGGGCGCGGAACCAAACCTGGAACAATAATGTTCGATTTGTCGGCTTGATTGATTTACATTCATACTCTCAGCAAATTCTCTATCCTTACTCTTACACTTGCTCTGTCGACCCTCCCAATCTGGAGAATTTGGAAGAGCTTGCCGCAGGTATTGCGAAGTCTATCCGTCTATCAAATGGAGAGTCGTACACGGTCGCATCAGCGTGTGAGGGTGCGGTCTCAGCTCGCGAATTCAGCGGTGGTCGTTACTGGTCTCGCATCGAATCTGGCGGTGGATCAGCTGTCGACTGGTTCTATCATGAAATGCGAGCCCACTACAGCTACCAGCTCAAGCTTCGAGATACCGGTAGCTACGGCTTTCTGCTTCCCAAAGAACACATTGTTCCAACGGGAGAAGAGATATTCAATGCAATGAAGTATTACGGAGACTATCTCTTGGGTAACAATGGCATCGAGTCCATTACTAAGGCTGAAGAGGATGACAAGTTGGAGATGCATGAAAATCAGCCAGTCCAAGATTCTGAGCAAAACCCTACCGTAGGACAGGAGCTAAGAAGGAGAAGGCTTCGTAGGTGAAGCTGATGTATGTTTGTACGGGATGCAGGAGGGTATTGGATAGGGATTTGGTATGAGATTTACGATTGAGCCTTTATGATTTAATTTTCTTTATTTCTTTTAGGAATTGGTCAAGTTGCATGTAATAATGGATTGACAGGTACGCAGGCGTCTAATGGTCACAGCAAAAAGCAGGAAATAGCAACGATGGGGAATTCGTGGCAGGTCTAGTTAAGTAAAACAGAAACTAATATCATGCATATATCGCATCTTTCTAAAACCTGTCCGTCAGTCCGACTTAGTTGCCCAGGGCAAACATGATGGAAGTATAGGCGGCTATGCACTTGAGCGACGTATCGCAGAGGAAAGAGCCGATTGAGCCACTAAGCCCGTCAAGTTAGCAAATATCACAAGATGGAGACTGCCTCAGTAGGTATACATACCCCATGCGTCCCTTGGGGCCACCAGCAGAGTAGCCAATGGCGTAGAATACACGAGAGAAGGCCCAGCCAGCACCAAGAACGGCAGAGGCAACGGGGAAACGAAGACCAGAGATCAGAAGAGCACCAAGGAAAGAGATCTGGTTCTCGGTGAAGTTGGCGTGCGAGCGCTGGGCTGTAGAAGAGAGAGTTAGTACTTGAGACTTGGGTTTCGTGGGTGGTACGAACCGCAGTTGAACTTGAAGGCCTCGGCGTCCTTCTCAGCGAGCTCATTGGAAGCGTAGGCGACGGGGTACTTGATACCACTTCGCTTGCGAGCCTTGCTAGTGAGGAGAACGTGGAGAGTGTTGATGAAGAAGGTGGATGTGGCGGCCACGAGGACGAGGCTAGGAAGAGTGTCAGTTGTTTGTGTTTGAGGTTGAGGTTGAGACAGTGGGATTGTGCCTTACCCGTATTCGGCGGGGAGCTCAAGAACGAGAGACATGATGGAGAGAAGATGGGTTGACTACGAGGAGTATGAAACTGAATGTAGATAGTTGTGTAATGGCAAGAGTTGAGCTGGTACGGTCTTGTCAAGGTGTGGTTCTTAAATAGTGATTAATGGGTTCCCAGTAACGGGATGATGAAACTACCAACGGAACGGACCTAACGTGTCCGGGAGAGTCAGGTTAGCTCCACCAGGGGGAACAATCCACCGACTAAGGTATTCTCGTTGTCTCGAGTCAAGTCTATGCCATGGCCAATAAAGCACAATCGGAGGGTTCTAATCCCAGGCAGTTGCGGGAAATCATATCAATTCTGTCCAGTAAATAGGTGCTGTGTGTATAAGACAAGTCATCATCCACTCTTGTTCAGCCTCGGAGTATCGCTCATACGGGCGAGATCCGCTCCGCGCGACGAACCGAATAGAAATTTGACGGACGTATTTGATGGCGAGAGTAATCCCCGAGTCTTGATTTTCGTACTGTGATCATATTTCGGATTTCAATGCCGTCGGCTTAATTGGATCATCCGAGTCATTGGGTGTGAGGTTGAAAGTTGAAAGCTGGTGTAATTGGCAGGGGCCTAAAAACCAAACTCCGCAGCTACCAATGCAGGTACAAGCCTAAACTCCGCAGGCTACATACTGTACTCCATATGCTCGAGCGGCAATGAATGATGATGACTGCCTCCATATCAATATGACAATATCGATTGTCTGACTTTTTCCAGAAACGCCAGTGGATCGACTTCAATGACACTGGCCCATACTCATCTAGTGCACCTCTCTTCAGGTGACCGCCATTGGAGACCCAACCCTGCAAAGACTCTCCGTTCTGCAGTTTCCATATCAGGGGCTTCATCGCCTCCAGAGGTTCCTTCAAGGTCAACCCATCTGCCATCTGCCCGGCGCCGTATTCCACTGCTGTCGAACTTGTAACCCTTGACTTTCTTGCAATAGCGTCGAACATCTCTCTGGAATGTCGTGCCGCCACTCCAACCTAGTACTGCGCAGCCCACCGTCTTCCACGGACTGATAATGATATCGACCCGTCGATGCGGTGCATCGTTTTTGCTGGAGTCCTGCCAAACCACCAAAGCCTTGTCGAGTGTGTCAAAGCCTGAGCTGTTGGACTTTTCCCCTTTCCACGATACCGGGCGCTGTCCTCGATCAGAGTTGCGAGTCGACAGTGTCAGTGTATGTGTGATGAGTTGGGCCTTTTCGAGGGCCACGACAATCTTGGTTATCGCATTCAGTGTTTTGTTCTCATTTCGGTGACTCAAGACAACATCAGCATCACCAGGTTGTTGCTTGCCTCGCCGATAACCGCCCGCAATGACCATCTCAAATCCTGGGTCAATCAGGCGGGCGTGTTCCAGTATTACAGCGGCAATGGTCGCGACTTCGTCTCGGGGAATCCCCTGCAAGAACTCGTTGTAATATTTGACTCCAAGTTGCTGCGAGCGACTGAGCGTGTTCCATCCGAACTCGACGAGATCATCTAGATCTCTCCATCCTAAAGATCATTAGTTTCCTTTGTGTTAAGGAAGCTCGTTTTCGTGCTCACCCTTTTGATAGAAGTCGTGGGCGGTGACGACCCCAACTCCCCATACGTTGTAAAAGAGTTTGAGGACTATGGTTTTAGGGTCGGTGTTGGCCTCGCGTACTTCTACTGATTCACCTGTCTCCTTCCAGTGATGCCATAGTTCGGCGATTCTATCACCGCAACCTGGCAACCGTGCAACTTCTAGGTGAATTCTTAGCTGCTAGCAGTACCAAACAAGACAGTAATACTCACCTTGGGAATTCCCAAGCACGTAAGGGTACGCAGCGATCGAGGCAATGGATGTGGAGTAAGCTCTCACACCGACCTCATCCTCTCGGAGTTGACGAATGGTTCGTATCTCAGTGAGGATGTTCACAAACGCTTCATTCGGCGGATGCATATACGTCGGTCGCTGACATGAATACGTGGTTCTCAGAAACTCAGGTATCACGGGCAGTGTGATGTCGTGTTCCGATGTCGTTTGATGAAGGAGACTGGGTGCATTTTGCGACATTGTTGTCGAGGCATCGTGACGCCTTTTGTGCCCATTGGATGGCGAGGTGCTTGATGACTGCGCTTTCTTCTCGAGAAGGGCACGCTCAAGAATACTACTAGCTGGTGAAGTAGAGCCTTTGGGTAATACAGGTGCGAGTGTTGTTTCACGAGGCAAGACTCGATTACACTGGAAGATCAAGTAGTGGTCCACGGGTAAGAGTTCTTCCTTCTCCCACGAGTCTAGGAGCCATGAAAGTTTAACAACCTTGACTATGTCTGTCCCAATTTCGGGTTGTTCTTTGACTCTCCTCCGCTTGGGATCTGGGCTACCACCCGAGTCATCGGCCACAGCTGGATAATCAACTTGGTGACTCTCCTTTTGAGGTTCCTCTACAGAGGCAAACTCGAATTTTGCCCTTCTCAGCTCAAACTCAGCGCGTCGTTGCTGCGATATCTTTCCGAGCACGATCTCAGCTTCATTGATGTCATACGTCAATGTAGGGATTCGTTCTTCGAGATGGTGCAGTTCTTCAGGTTTTAGATGTGTTGAGAGGAGGAAAATCCGCGGAAGGCTATCGAGTCTCATCACAGCAACCCTCCGGCAGATGTGCTTCAGCCTCTGGTGTGGATGGAGAGAATTCTGGCTATTCGTGGAATATCAAGGCTGTGGTGACTGACGTGAGTCTCATACTTGCACGCGCCTGGCTGATTGAGTTAGATGATACAGTAAATAGGTCGTGAATTGTAAGTTCTGTTCTTCGAATATGAGTTGTCTCACTTATCTTCATACAGTGGTGGCGGCCAGATAATTACTTCATTTGGTATGAATGACGTGGAGATGGACAAATCGTAAGGGCATAGCTTCAAGTGCTGAGGTAGAGAGGAAATGGCTTCATTGACGTGGGAAAGGACTCTGTCTCGATTTTATCCATGTCAGCCACGGCTAGTCGCATACCTTATGCCCATAACTCCTTCTGCAGGTTAATATGCGACTTCCCATTTTATGCTGTCACAGCTGGGCGAGGTAATCCCAATTCTTCATTACCTACCTACTAACCTGCCTTACCTACCTACCTACATGTAGTAGGTGTTTGCTCAGACCGAGTACCTAGATGGAGGGAGTGACCAAGACGACCAAGAAGCTTTTTGAGATTGTGCCTTTTCTCGTTCGAGATCAGATAGTCTAGAGCCGTTGGAGGCAATACTATGAATTTGATTTTGCTTACAACTGTTTCATTTCGATCCAATGTAATGTATTCCTAGTGCATACCTATTATGAAACCTTGATGCCCTATGAGTCAAGTGTAAGTAAGTTGACCGTGTCTTTGTAGGGTAGTCTAGATTCCACGTCACTGGCTCGTGGGGCTTGAGCTCTGCGATTCCCGTTAAGGGAAGTGTGAGGAGTTAGCGCATCTAGATCCGTTGATTACTTAGTACTTAACTGACTTATGAAAGAAGATGTTACCTAAGGTACATTGCATCAAGGACATTGGGCCTCTGCCGTAATTGTTGTATGAGACCCATGATAAATATGTCTACTCGCTCAATATTAACGCGAATGTATATTGATTTCGCAAGCCTTTGTCACGGTTAGGAGCGTTTCCATTGTAATTGACTTCAAGGCATATCTGCTGTAAATCTAGCGGCGGCGGCGGCGGAGCCGGCCATTTAAGCTCCGATCGGCCCATGTAACAGTGATTGGGGTCTCTTGTACTCCGTAGAGGACATCAACCTCAAAACCGCAAACCGCAATCGCATACTTTGCATCTTTTCTTCTATTCTCCCAGCTTCTACTCCTTCTTTCAACCCCTTCTATTTCATCAGCCCGTTATTTGACTTGTATGACTCACGGTTACTGCCCACACACCATCCGCAGTCACATACACACTTTCTCCAATATTTTACGCACCTTAGATCTGACGGGCCATGGATCTCGATATTGAGATGGACGATGCCGTCGACACGGTTCACGACGCACCCATTCTCGACATCGGTCGCGATGATATCCTCGTAAGCTTGACTAACAGTCAGACTGCTGCCATCCGAAATTGACTTCCCTTCCAGCAACCTGACGAGCCTGAAGAGCCTGGCGAGGTGGCTGAAGACGACCCTCCGGCCGACGACTCAAAGACCCTCGTCCCGACAAAAATCCACATCAAGGGTGTCGACTCTCTTCACACAACCGACATCAAAGCCTACGTCAAGGCTCACTTCGGCGATGTCGACAGAATCGAGTGGATTGACGATTCTTCCGCCAACCTCATCTTTCCTTCTGAACCCACGGCGCGTGATGCAATTGTTGCCTTGAGCTCTGTTCCCGTCGCAGATGCCACAGCATTGGCAATCGGAGAGACTCTGCCTGCGAAGCCTTTGGAAGGGAAGCCAGAGATTTCTCTCCAGGTGAGATTTGCAGTACAAAGCGACAAAAAAGAGGTCGGTGCTGCCTTGCGCAGCCGCTATTATCTCCTTCATCCTGAGCACGACCCCGAGGAGCGACGGCGCAGGAATCAGGAAAACCGGTCAAGGTACAGGGATCGTGACGATGGCTATCATAGGGGTGGCGAGGGCCGACGACGACGCGCCTCTGACGACGACGTTGAGACGTTTGAAGCCAGCATGTACGATGATGCGCCTCGTCCAACACGGAGAAGACGCGATTCAGACATAGAAGAACGACCACGCTCATATGCTCGTGAGAATCAAGGCAAGGAATTGTTTTCAGGCCGGAAAACACAACGCGACCGATCTGCATCTCCCAGGCGCGATAACGATGGCGACGATCTAATGGATGAGAGGGCTAGCTCATCTGGGAACAGAGCGCGAGCGCGGGATCTCAAGGATCGCATATCAGGCAGTAACAATTCCAAGGAGTTGTTCCCGACCAAGAAGTCGATTAAGCAGTTTGGTGGAGGAAACCTGGATACCCTTGAGCGAGCGATAGGATCAGCCCGCCTCAAAGATGAAGATCGCCCCAAGATTGTTTCCGTGCCTAGTGCACGAGGCGATGGCAACTCATTCAACATCCGCGGCATGGCGAGCCAGCAGGGGAGTGGAGAGGGTTTTGCGATTAAGGGTGCTGCTTCAGCTAACGCGCGCGAATTGTTCCCTACTAAACTTGGCAGCAACAATACTGGCAAGGAACTATTTGGAGGAGGGAGATCGAAGCAACGACAGAAGGCTGAGGACCTTTTCTCTTGAACAGGGACTTCATCGAGACATGGTACACATTATACAATAGCAACGGCTGAACTGGGCTAACAACACGGACGCATAAGTGATGGGTGCTGGTAACTATATATATGGTTTTGTAAAGATACCAAGGCGCATTCAAACAGATACATTATGGGTTCTTTCATCTTCAGTTTCCAGATATGAATTCCAAACGGATGTTTTATAAAGATGGTGGGCTGAATTGTATGAAGTTTCGTGGTTATCGTGATCTGGAGCTTATTCATCTACAGATGCTATGCTACGCTGCCGATTCCTACCACCACTTCTCAAGCACAACTCTGTTTTTGTCCATCCCCCTGTCTCTTGTTAAGCCATCAACTATTTCATCCGTCATCGTCGCGGGGCCACAGACATATACCACACTGTTGTTCTTCTCACCCACAGCCTCCTTCACATCTTCAACTGTGAATCTCCTTTCATGAACATCAAGTTCACGGCTCTCGACCTGCCCGTCATATATCCCTGTGGTAAACAATTTCAAATCTCCAATAAGTTCCTTTTCTGTAAACCATTTTCTGATTCTCTCCAGGAAAAGAACACCCCTGAGACCCTGCGCAGGTAACTTGCTAGCATAGAGAACCTTGACCTCCAGGTTGTATCCCTCTTCAGCTATATGCCCCATCATACTGACGAGTGGGTTGATCCCCACGCCGCCCGCCACAAATACCACATGGCTTATGCCGGTGACGGGTATCTCTGATGGTGGGAAGACAAAGCTTCCTCCAACACGCACCTGTAACTTGGAACCAGTAATATCGGACGGCGACTGCCAGAGCCACGCCGCTGGAGGGTTCTCTGGGGATTCTTGTACTGCTAACTCCAGGTAGGGAGACTTGGGATCGGCAGCCGCGCGAGGTGTAGATGTGAGTGTGAAGCCGCCTGGTTTGGGGTTCTCGGGGATGTATGTATCAAGCCATTGACCGGCCAAGAACTAGATACTGTCAGCATTCCTCCTTGCGAAAGACTGAAATTAATATGATATATGCTGTATGTACCTTGGTTGGCCCCGACTCGAGTTTGAGACAATATAGCCTAATTCGCTCATTCACCTGATCTACACGCTCGAGTCTTACATCCAGAAGGCTCTGATTCGCCGAATATCAGTCAATGATATACAATGGACCTGTATTGATATGAACCAACCTCATCTCGTGGCTCCTGAGCTGTCCTTTCTAGATGACCACTGCGTTGAGTCGACATGGCTTTTGATCTCGCGCAGAAGGCTATGGGGTTGATGGCAGCAAGTCCCAAGCTTCGACCCGATAAAGAGAGATTAGGACTAATGGTTGCAAGTTTGAGAGGCATGAATGCACATAAAACCGTCCAAGGGCGATTATATCCAATGGCCTCATGTTAGCATGTGCATGTCATACCCAGGCCTAGGTAGTGGGGTGGACTACCATTTACGTAGGTAGACTCACAGACGCTGAGTCAGGCGATAACCTACGGAGTACACACCTGCATCTTCCTGGAGGCAACGACGGTCATACTGTACGCTTCGGCGAATCAGATTATTGCATAGAATTTTGTTGTAAAGAATAATGCTTGACCGTCCGTTTTAGAATTCTATCTTCTCCAAGCCTAGCTCCTGGAGTCCACGACCTCGAGTTACATTACCTTCCCCAAGACACTATATGCCTCGTTATCCCGTAAATTGTTATACCAAACACATCTAGGACGACTCTGTCCAGTTGACTTGATCCATGACCTGTCCAGCAGTTGGGTGCGTGTATGCAATCCTCAAGCGTAGACGCAGAGGCTAAAACATTTATTAGTATATCGAATTTGTTTTGCCGGGAATTGGGAACAACACTTACCCCTTTGCATCCGGACACTCGCATCATCTGGCTGGCTTCAGCTCCAGGTCCGAGGTCCGATGAAGAGATGCTCAGCAGTTGCAGCTTCTGAGACTTGGGAACGGCAGCTTGTAGAGATACGTTGGACAAATTTGCTGAACCAGAAGTGTTGACGAACTTTGCGGTGGCTTGAATCATACCCTCTGCGTTGCGTTGGATCTGGAATGTCACGTTAAGGTCATTTGCGTTATAGCAGGGAATACCGGCAGGTGCCTGAGGCTGAGGTGCTGACGACACAGGAGACATGAGGTCGAGGTTCGATGATGGTGGGGCTGGAGAAGCCGTAGATGGCACAGGGGCAGAGCCAAATAGGTCCATGATATTCGATACATTGGATTGCTGAGGAGGTGGCGAGGAGGCAGATGGAGGAGGAGACGAGGTACCACCTAAGATATCGGCGAGGAGATCAGTGTTGGTCGTTGAGGAAGCAGCTGGTGACGCAGCAGGCGCGTCCATAATATCCAGGAGGTCTTGTTCTGTTGGCTTGATGACTCTTGACTTCCTGTTGGCGGTCTTCTTCTTTGTAGGAGCTTGTCCAAGAACACGAGACTCCTCCTTGATCTGAGGAATAGGCATCTTCTCGAGCACTCCACGTCGGACCTGATCGAAGCTGAATAGGTTGCCATATTCAACGACTCGCTGCTGAATCTCGATATCGAGGCTGGTCTGGTGATATTGCAGGATCCTTCGGATCTTCTCGATCTGAGCTGGGTCAGAGAAGCGGGTTGTTAACTTCATCAAGGCTGTCACAATGTACTCTGTTGACACTTGTGTGGCGTATGCACTGTTAAGAATCAAAGAGAACAAGTCGACAACCTCATGCTCCTTAACCTCCTGCACAAGCTCCTCTTCCTCATATTGTCCACCCTTGAGCAAAGCGTCTGCATATTCGCCGATACACCAAGCACCAGCCTGCGTCAGACTCTCCTGAGTAATGTCTTTCTTGAGGTTGATATAGAGTTTCTGGACAGCATAAGTCTGTAGCTCAGGGGTAGTAGCGACGAGGCGAACAAATGATGATAGGATCTGCTCCTTGACGTAGTTACCGGCAAGAGACAAAACTCGGAGCATTGTGTCGAAATGCCATCGCTTGTTAGGCGCAAACTTGTCAGCGGCGATACCTATCTGGCTGGTCATTGTTGGCTTAAACTCATTATCGGCAACCTCCAAGAAGGCAAGAAGCTCCCGAATCAACACTCGAACATTGCTCTCGTTAATCAAGGTAAAGCTCAGGTCCAGAGCTCGACGGCGAATACTGATATCAGGGTCTCTCAAACATTCCAGGATGGTGTTTCGATGTCTCTGCACAGCATTGGGCTCGATGGCGACAACCTTGATCAGGGTGTTAAGAGCCACGTATCGGATGTTGTTATCGCGGTTGGTGAGGAACTTGCCCAGAATGTTGACACCGAGCACCCTTAATCCAGAATCGGCCTCGATGTCGAGAATCGTGCGCACAGCTTCGTACAGGATGGAATTCCCAACATTCTTGGATGATTCGGTATTGGTAGCAACCTGGGCAAGGATATCGTTGATCTGCTCGCTGGTCTCTGCATCACCCACAGCCAGGACTCGCAGAAGGTGAAGGATCTTGACCTGCAGGAAAGGGTCGGTAATACCAGTAACGTCATGTTCGGGTGCGTAGCCTGAAGTAGCGAGCCCTTTCAGAGTTCTAACAAGTCCCGGGACAAAAGGCCTGAACTTTTCAACAATTCCTTCTTCTCCGCCCTCCTCCTCATCTGCTTCGCAGAGGCTTGTCACCAGAGTAAGACCGCAGAGCAAGACGCCGTGGTTTCTGTCGGACAGAAGCTGTGTAGCCTTGTCAATAAAGTGCTCTTGTAAGTCTGGAACCTTTCGACATATGCGCATTGCGCACAAAGCCGCCTTTCTTCGAATATATGGGTTGGCTGTGGCTACGAGGGTCTCGATTTCGGGGAAGAGATCCCGTGACATCTCAATCGAGGCGATATTTCCTAGTGTACAGAGAGCAAGTCCAACAACATATTGGTTGGAATGTCCGAGATCGCTAAACCAAAATCAGCAACCAGATGTTCGATTTGTAGGGCGTTAGGAGAAGTATACTTCTTGAGGGAGTTGGTAACCAATGTCAAGACTTCTTGATTTTCATCCAACAACAAACTTGTAGCCAGATGTCCCAGACGTTTATCGGCGAATCGAGGGGAGGCGAGGAGCTTCAAGCATTCGATCTGTCCAAAATGGGTTCGCTCTCCAAGGGTGAACAGGTAGAGTAACTTTGCGACGTTGTTACGACTGCCTGCGCATCAGTATCTCCATCCCTCCAATAGCACTGTTGAACCCACCGAATGTTGGGATCGTGGCTCTCCTCTCGAAAGCTGGCGCGGATGGCAGCACTCTCTTTCTGAATGACAGCTCGCTCGTCTGCGATCGTCTTGGCCGCACGCACATTTCGAATGAACTGCTTGACTATCCCGAGCAAAAGTAAAGGTAAGCCTCTGACTGATCAGATCGCGAAGGATAGCTCGTCGGTGCCATACGGGAACTCATCTTGGGAGGACAGACCCAGCGGTTGGGCCGTCTGGTCGATGCTTATCCAGGGGTTGTGATGGAAGCGATGGGGGCTCGTCGAAGCTCAATCAGCTCTGGGATAGAGCAATGAGCTACTATTTCTTTATGCGTGTCGAGGCGGAGGACAGAATAGGGAGGTTTCGTCAGAGCCTAGGTACTCAAAGCAGCTAAACAAAAGAGAAACCGAGTTGCGCCGTCAAGTTACAGGTCAGTGCCAGTGTCAGTGACGGTGTGTGCTGTGCTGTACTTCTGCTTGCGTTGCGGCGGACCTTTCAGACGGGACGTGGGGCACAGAGCAGACCTACACCGAATTAGATTTGCTTGGCAGTACTATGTACGTACTGCGTTAGTCATCGCTAGATGAAATAAGCTTTGTTGAATCCATTAGGTAGTAGGTACTACTCCGTACTTCCCAAGGTCAGGTATGTTAAGGCACGAACGAATACATACATCATTAAAGGAAAAGAACAAAAAGAAAAGACACAGAAGAAACATAATCACAATAATAAGTATACTTGTTTATTCGTACACACATGATATTACAACTCTAGGAATACACACAAA